GCTGTTAAATAAAAAGTCACATTTTTTTCTGATGCACCATCAAAGATCAGCCAGCAGCTTTTTCTGTGACGTCACCAGAGTCCCGGTCATTTCTGCACTGGCCTCTAGGTGGAGCTGGAAGTAATGAAAGAACAAGACAGTGAAACTCAAACTTTTATTTGGCAAAAAATCAAGTTACAGAAGAAGACCCAGTCATAGATGTGAAAACAATTTGCTTGTCTAAATTATTCAGCTCATATTTGATGCTAATGTGAAATATTTTACGAATGTTCTGATCACATTCATTGGTTCTGGGTGTCAGGTTGAATTCCCAGTCTGGCCAGAAGCTCCCTGATGCGTTTGCACAGATCAGCGTCTCCGTTTCTTCTGGAAGTTTCTTTTGTTAAGGTCTTCTTCAGTTCTGTGATGCTGGCGTGTCGATATTTTGATTCTTCTTGGATCTCTGCTGCCCTCATGTGGTACTCAGTTGACTCGCGGCTGTTATATTTCATAAAAAATAAATGTTTGGCGTAGAAGTTGTACAGCATCTGTTTTCCTGCTGGATCCAGATCTTCTCTTTGTTCCAGCAGCTCTTTGTAAATCTGCTCAGCTTTCTCTTTGTCTAGCTTTGCCTGTATGGATGCTACAGTGATTTTATCTTCAAGTTTGGGTTGAGGATCATTCTGAATCACTTCGTCCCACAGTCTGATTGCTCTGTTGACCTCGTTGTTGTCAAGTTCGTAGCCCTTAGAAAGGATCTTCTTTGTGAGACTCTCAGCATCAGATCTTTGCTGTGGGGTTTGATTCAAAGCTTCATCTGGAGATTCATCAGCGTCGTCTTCCAGTTTAAACTTTCTGTTCAGACTCAGCAATGGGCTGACTCCACTGTAGCTGTTGGCAGGTTTCTCTTTCAGCTTTCCAGCCAACTCTCTTGCTTCATCCTGGACGTTTTCTCCGTTTTTAGCTCTGGCCTCCAGATAAAGAGCAGCAAGGCATAAGTTATCTGGATCCTGTTCGTTGGCACATCTCAGCGTCTCCAGCCGGTCAGCGTACAGCTGCTTTAATCTGTCGTTGAAGAACTCTGCTGTCAGTATGGCGTAGCTGCTCTGCCACTCCACGATGTCTGGCTGCATC